GTTACCGAGAGCCCACGGCATTCCTAAGCAGTTCTAGAGAAGATGCAGTTGTGCCTATCACTGGCTTGGCATTCTTTCCCAGAACTCTCTCCCTCTGGCTGACACCAGGGTTTCACACCCCTCCCCGCCAGCATGAGGTTCCTGGGGAGACTCCAAGTATTTGGAGACTATCATCTCCATAACCTGATAGTCAAAGAAAGGGGCACAAGTGTGTCGGGGGCACAAGTGTGTCGTGAGAATGCCTTCACTTTTGCCCGGGCAGTCACACCTTGAGTGCGGTAGAGGGCAGACATGTCATGGCCTGGGACCGCCATGAAGCCAATGTCCTGCGAGGGTCTGCATCCCAGTTCATAGACAGTCACGTCCTTGCTGTGTTTTCAAGTAGAGGAAAGGGGCAAGGGGACTTTGGGGTCTCTTTTAGAAGGGTGCTCACCCCCCCCTTTTTTCTCGCTAGATTCTTGCCAACTTGACACAAGCTAGAATTATCTAAAAGAAAGAAATCTTAGTTGAGAGAAATGCCTCTGTAGGATCCAGCTGTAGGCATTTTCCTAATAAGTGATCCATGGAGGAGGGCCCTGACCATTGTGGGAGGTGCCATTTGTAAGCTGGTGATCCTTGGGTTCTGTATGAAAACTGGTTGAGCAAGTCAGTAAGCAGCATCCCCACCCCCCCAATGCCTTTGCATCCGCTCTCGCTTCCTGGTTCCTGCCCTGTTGGTGTTCCTATCCTGACTTCCTTCCATGATGAACAGTGATGTGGAAGTGTAAGCCAAGTCAACCCTTTCCTTCCCACCTTGTTTCTTACTTTTTGCTTGTTAACTTGGGGATTTTGTTTCTTTGAGACTAATCCTAATGAATATTTATTTGCTTTGGCCATGGCGTTTCATACAGCAGTGGTAACTCTAACTAGGACACCCTTCCTAAGGCTCCCATTCCGGGTGTCCCCAGGCTCCTCTCCTAACTAACCCGTCACACTGGCGGAAGGGTTTTAGCAGGCACTCTGAGAGGACACATTCAGTCCTCTGCCTGCCTTTCTTCCTGCTGTTTGAGTTGCACTGACAGCTGCAGGTGGGCCAGCTATCTAGCTATTTTAGACTGAGATGCGTCTTTGAGAATGGAGGTCAGGAAGGGTCCCGTGGTGAGATAACAAAAGCCAGAATGTCTGAGATCATCAATGTCTGCAGCTCTAGGTCACCTAGTTCCTTATTTACACTGGAGAGAAACTGAGGCGTTTTCAATTTATGAATTTTGTTATTTTCAGCCTAATCCTAACAAATATTTAAGGCACTCTCAGGGTAGGCTTTGACTTGAGGACCCAGTCTTGAAGGGAGGGGCCCTTCACACTGGCATGGCTTGGCTCTTCTGCTGACAGAGCCGGGAACTTCAAATATCACGGTTAAGGAGCACAGGAGCAGTGTCCCCCTCCTCAGTCCTCAGAGATTGCCTGGGGCTAGAATGACGGTAACCCCGAGTTATACCACTCCTGATTCCTCCAGCAATGCCTGTGTCGCCCAGACTGTCCTGAAACTTCAAGTTCTCACACTTACTCAACGTTCTCATAACCGTTTGCCTTTACAAAGGACACCCACTCTTTGTAGTAACACTGCCACCCCCCAAATGAGTGTCTTAGTAACCTTTGGAGATGTAACTTGAAAGCCACCAAAATCCTATATGCCTATGCTAAAGTGTCCAGCACGACTGTCCCCTCAGATACCCATACCCACGCTTGGATACATCTGATATTTCCTGGGTGCCCCTGAAGGACCCCAACTTCATTGGGGTCACAGTTAAAACTGTGGTTTTAACTTTAACCACAGTTATAACGCTCTGCAAAGGTTTTCAGATAGCAAGCTTCATTAAAGGCCTCCGGAGTCAGGGCCTCCAGAGTGCTGAACAAATAACAGGCTTAATTCAGGACCTCCAGAATGCTAAAGCAAAGACACCTGAGATTAGAGCGAGGACAGCCTTATCTGACAGCAGGACAGGAGATTTATGAACTGACATGAGTAGGAACAAAGACTTCAAGGGAGGAAGAGAGGATTGCGAGGCCTGAGTCACGTACAGAGCGAGCCTCTCACGAGTCAGGGGCTGTGCAAATCAGACATCTAGTCGCCAGCCAAGCTAGGAAGGCAGGAAGAGATAAGAAAAACAGGTAGGACAACCCCCTCTTTGGTATCCAGGTGGGTCTGGACAACCCCCTCCTTGGTATTTAGGTAAAAGGTCAGGAGTGTGCCACTCAGCTTAGCCTTATTTAAATTGACCAATGAAATGAAAGCTTTTCTGCTTCTGTACCCGCGCTTTTGCTCCCCTATAAGAACCCCTCATCCCCAACCTGCAGCGCGCAAGTCATCCGAGAGACTTGTCGCCCAGGTACCTGTGTATCCACCAATAAACCTCCTGCTGTTTGCATCCGGCTGCGTGTTTTCGACTGATCTTTGGGGCACGGGGCCTCTCCCGAGGGAAGACACCCTGCGGGAGTCTTTCACCCCCTTTCTCCCTTGTGCTTCAAGTCTATGTTGTAATCTCTTCATGAACTGAGGGTCTACTTCAGACTTCTCCGTAGTGAAGGCAAAAATCCTGGATTTGCCTGTGTGCTGAGAGGGGAGGAAACTCTTCTGCCTGCGGGTGACAGTGTGGAGCTTGGCTGCTGTCCCTGGGGTTGCTGACGAGATCAGTCAAGTCAGCATGGAGGGCTGGGAGAATGAGCAAGAGACATAAGGTGTAGGAAGCTTGCTGAGGGAGGCGCTTTCAAATCTACGCCTGAAGGACACGTGAAAGGATGCGATTTTGTACCAGGCTGTGCTGTTTGCCGGGCCTAGACAGTATCTCACGACAGATGTGACTGTTTGCTGACGCCTGTCCGGAAGATCTGGGTCAAAGGTTACTTGGGCACAGAAGGACATTTTCTGTAGGAAGTGGAGCGTAGAAAGACCCAGTATCGAAATTCACATCATGGACTGGGTTTTTAATCCTAGCACCTGGGAAGCAGAGGCAGAGGCAGGCAGATTTCTGTGAATTTCAGCCCAGTCTGGTCTACAGAGTGAGTTCCAGGACAGCCAGAGCTACACAGAGAGACCCTATCTCATAAATTAAAACAAAAAACAAACAAACTAAAAAAAGAACCAACAAGCCAACAACCAAAACCAAAACAAAAAATTGACATCATGGAGCCAGACTCTGTCATCCATTTTGTAGGCTAACACTGTGGTGCAACAGAACATATATGAACAATGACATGGGCCACGCCTTCCACTGTGTGCTGTTTTTAGTTATTAAACACACTGATACGTATTCATATTACGTTTTCTGAAATAAAATGCTAACATTAAGGTGACTCTATTAATTCTCATGCTTGGACTGGATATTTAGAATCCTTAACTAACCAGTGTGTTCTCAATTTTTTTATTACATGTATGTATATATGTAACACACCACTAGGGATCAGTTCTCTCCTACCATATGGGTCCCATGACTGAATTTAGGAAGGTGTCTTTACCCACAGAGTCATCTCAGCGGCCCCCTTGCCAGTACTTGGGATTGAGCTTAATTCCTCATGCACGTTAGTGCTCTATGACCAAGATACGTTCAGCGTCCATCTATCTCATGTGTTCTATGCACTGATAGTGTAACAGAGTTCCAGACCTTAGCACAACTGAGGCCATGATGGAGTCATCCAGGCCCCAGAACCTGGAATGTAGGTGGCACCTCCTGCCAAAATGAGAACAAAGACCTAAGTCACCCAAGTCCATAGTTCTGGGCAAGTCCCAGTGCACCAATGTCCTTTGCCTTGAGGCTTCTGCAGTTCTGCTTCTGGCTAACTGTTCTTGCTAACTGAGGCGTGTCAAGGCAGGATGTGGTTTTTGTGTTTAAAAGCTCACTCTGAGAAGGGCCCAGGACTAGTCTAGGGTCCTGAACACCCTGTGTAGTTGCCGGCCAGCTGATAAAGACTTTCTGTTGCCTTGAATCTGTGTCCAAGTTGTTTTCTGTGGTGGGTACCTCATAACACTAGGGTTTTCACTCGGGAGGCAGAGGCAGGCGGATTTCTGTGAGTTCGAGACCAGCCTGGTCTACAAGAGCTAATTCTAGGTTAGGCTCCAAAGTTACAGAGAAACCCTGTCTTGAAAAACCAAAACAAACAACAACAGCAAAAACAAACAAAAAAACCACTAGGGTTTTGACTGAGAAGTGGTTTAAGTTTTTGAAATTTCAGTTAATGAAATAAATATGCTAGGCCTATTGGAAATCAGACAACACATTAAAGAGGCTGTGTAAACAAAACAATTTTACATATACAATTCTAGGGAGAGGGACACGGCACAGGACAATGACACAAGTGGTTGGAGTGATGATTTGGGACACGACAGCAGTTTTGAAAGTCTCCCGGTTCCCAGAAATGTCTGTCCTCTCTCCCTTCCCACATTCATCTCCTTGGAGGGGGACACACAGACAGACTTATCTAATGGACCATTTGGGGCTTGCCTCCTTTTCTGGCCATGGACTCAGTCACATAGTGAGGACACCTGTAACTCCAAGCTTTAGAGTTCTGAGACAAGATGGGGAGAGGGACTGGTGAGGAGAGGGGTTTAGGCAGGCCTCCTGTTTCTCTGTGATTCTGATGAGGCCTAAGCCCATCTCAAACCTAAAGTGGGCCACGACAATTTCTGCCTTACAGGCAGTAAGCAGAATTTACGTTAAAAGGTGGAACAGGACAGACAGAAAGGAAGTTACCAGCTCTCTGATCCCACTGAATTCAAGCAGCATTCCCAGCTGCTAATTTGCACGCTGGATCACCCTTCCCTGGAACCTGGGACACACATAAGGCCTTGCCGTGTTGCTATTAAGTAATCATCAGTGAAAATGTCCCAAATGGCTTCTCCATTTCACGCGTCTCCCAGTAAAGATTTCATCACAGTGGGTTTTCCCCCAGGAGTGGTTGACAGGGGCTGTAGTCACCATCCACAGCCTGTTTTCAGGAGCGGTTCCCTTTGTCGTTTTGCACAGAACCCATCCATGACAGAAATGCTCCTCAAAGCTCAGAACGCCGTGGGAGAATTGTACCTTGAAATCGGGATGACTCAGAAAGGGCTCTCGTATTTTCAGAAAGCATGGTCAAATCTGCTGCGGTTTACGCTCAGTGACTTAAAAAGCAGCCAGGAACTGTTGAAGCAGAAAGGTAGGCGGCACCTTCAGAGGCCACTCCACTCTTGCAGTTCAGAGAGCAACCCCAGGGGCCTTCTCTCCCCTGGAAGGGGGAAGGACCAGGTGTTTTTTTTTTTTAAAAAAAAACAAACACACAAACAAACAAACAAACAAACAACCTATCCACTGCCAACCATGGTGGTGCGTATCTCTAACCCCAGCACTTCGGAGGTTGAGGCAGAACCCCTGTGAAAAGGTGAACATGGTGGTGGCACATGCTTGTCACCCCATTGCTGAGGAAATAAAGGCAGGTGAATCCCTGAAGGCTCTCTGGCCAGCTGGCCTCACCTGCTCGTGAGTCCCAGGCCATGGAGAGACCCTGTCACAGAGAACAAACACAGAAGTTGTGGGTGGCACCTGAGGAATGAAACTTAAAGCTGTCCTCTGGCTTCTCATGCGCGCTCTCTCTCTCTCTCTCTCTCTCTCTCTCTCTCTCTCTCTCTCTCTCTCTCTCTCCACTCATGTGCACCTATGTCACCTCCTCCCCACACACAACACAACAACCCGAAGATCCAATCTTCAGGCTCAAGCTGCTGTCTTCGCTCCTTGGCCCTTTGGCTGCCACATGCATCCAGATGCTTTGCCTGGAAACAAACCCTATCCAGTGTAGGTCAGGGGTCGGTTTGTCCAGAAAAGCCCTGGTTCTTGGCATGATGAAGGAATGATATCACACGCTAGGCCTGTTGAAACTTTGACTCTTCTGTAGCTAAAACCTTAAGTATTATATTCTTTTATCCCCTGTAGTCAAAGTGATGAACAACCTGGCAAAATCAGCATCTGAGGAATTCTTAAAAGAAAACCACATTTTGGAATACGCTACCGAAATCTCCAAGTTCGTGACTGATAACCCCCGCGAACAAGCTACCATGAGATATACTGAAGGCATTCTCATGTAAGTGTGATTTTTTTTCTTAGTTTTTCTTGCTGTATGTATTAGCTCCTATTCTTTTTATTAATATGCACAGGCATGCAGCTCAGTTGGTAGAGTGCTTCCCTTGCATGCATGAAGTCCCATGTTCGATTCCCAGAACAACATAAATTGGGCACAATGATGCATGTCTGTAATCCTTGCCCTTGGGAGGCAGAGACAAGCAGATGAGAATTCAGGTCGTCCTCAGCTTTATAGAAAGTTCAAAGCCAGTCTAGGCTAACACGAAACCCTACCTCAACATATGTATTTATGTAGACCTGTACCTGTTCCCATATCTTCCACCTAACTCACTTGGTCAAATGTTGGGCATTGGTGTGTTCATCTCCCAGCATAGTGGGTCTCAGCCATGGATGGTCTGGGACTCTTCTCAAGGCACTTTTGGCAATATCTGGACACATTTTTTGGCTAACATGACCAGCAGGAGGATTTTTATTGCCATCTAGAAGCAGAGGCCAGGGACGCTGCCTACAATGTGTAAGGCAGGCCCACAACAAGAAATTACCCTCCCCAAATATCTATAGTATAACAAGTCTTTTTCTGTCCCACCAGCTCCCAAATAATGACATGGGGACTTCTTATTAATTATGAAAGCTTGGCCTATAGCTTAGGCTTGTTTCTAACTAGTTCTTATAACTTAAATTAACCCATTCATATTAATTCATGTTCTGCCACATGACTTGTGACTGTTACCTCTCCTTCTGCACATCCTGCTTGCTCTGCATCTCCTGGCATCTTCACCTATCTCTTCCCAGAGTCCTCTCTGTCCCAAGAACTCCTGCCTATACCTCCTGCCTAGTTACTGGCCATTTAGTTTTTTTTAATACACCAATCACAGCAATACCTCTTCACATGTATACTAACATCCCACAACATTTCTCCCCTTTTGTCTAAATAAAAAGAAAGGTTTTAACTCTAACATAGTAAAATTATAAATAAGAACAATTATTAAGCAAATATTACATTCACAATGTCTAGTCCATTTGTATTGACAAATTCAGAGAAAGAACTCTATTATCTATCCTCTCTTAGTCCAAAGTTTTATACCTAACCCATTTTCTATCATAACATGTATTACCATCCTAAAAAATACCTTTGTAGACTTCAAAAAAAATCTTAGACAAACAACTTAAGCTTTTATGTTTCTCAACCTTATAAAATTTACATCTCTTGTATAAGTTTCTTTTTTTTGAATTTGGTAACAAGGAGAACTATCTCATCTTCAACTCCATCAGAGATCTGAGAAGCATATAAAACTACCTGAGTAAACAGGAAGTACAGAGCAAGCAACTTCCAAAACTATAGAAACAACAGAGACATCTGGCTGCCTGGACAGTCACCCAAGGTTCCTTAGTAATGTTGTGGAATCCATCTTTGACCTATGGACCTAAAGTATCTGACAGACATTTCTGTGAAGTAGGAATTTTGAAGGACGTCATACCTTGTCATGACAAAGTTCAGCCACTGCCATCTTTTGCATCCTGCTGGTTCAGTTTGGACAGCATACAGTCAGCAGTCGAGGCAAGGGCAGTTTCTCTGCCCAGTGGCTAACTTTGCACACATGCACACACATGCACGCACACACACAGGCACATATGCACACACACATCACTTCTGAGGGCTTTTGAGGTTCTTGATTCCCCTCCTGTTGTACATCTCTTTCTGAACAGACATCTCTCTATTTGTGAAAGCATTTATGAGAAATGTTGCTGGTCCAGGGAATGTGGGCCATTTACTGTAAGCATTCTCCATGCCTGCTAAAGCTGGTAAGGCCTGTGTTTCATTCTCAGGTTGACTACAGGAAACGTGCCTCTTGCAAAACTGAAGTTTCAAGAGTGTTTAAATATCAGAAGACGTCTATTTGGCGATAAAAACATACTAGTTGGAGAAATTATGGAATTATTAGCAGATCTGCTGTTTTTTGTACTGGGAGATAACGAAAAGTAAGTTTCTAGGGACTATTTCAAAGAGTGTGTCCTTCTCCCTTTCCCCCAGGGTCTGGGATGTGCTCTGACCTCTCAGGGGCATCCTGTCTCTTTGTCTCTAGTGGGGATGTGCCCTCCCTGAGGGCTATGTCCTGCTATGTGTCAGGGCACCTGTCACAAGGCATTCTGGAAACTCTAGGCCCAGAGAGTGGGGCCTTGGCAGCAGGAGAGGACACAGGGGCCCAGTGCGCTCACCGTGAGTGCTCCCCAGTGTCCCCGACAGGGCTTGTGAGTGGGTGTGCTTCCCCAGGGCTTCTGCACAGGTCTAGGCCCTGGCTGCTGTCTGTGAGACCCTATCCCACTGTTCTGTGGGTCTGTGTGGTCCAGGCCAGAGCCAGCTGTGCCCCGGGTCATGCTCGCCTGCTGTCCCCAATTCCAGCAGCCTTTGAGATGTGGCTCCATCCTCAGCTCCACACATACCGTGGTGTAGAAGAGGGTAGTAGAGATCCTCACGGCACCCCGATGTGAACATGTACAGTTCTCGCTGTTTCTCCTGGCAGCGGGCTGGTCAACTGCAGACTTCCTGGGCCCCAGCCTTGCCATTCCGTAGCAGAGCCAGCCTTCTGAACATCCAGGGATGCTCTGCTCAGTTGTGAAGTCACCAAGTCTTGGGTTTGGAGCTCCTCTCTCCTCCCCTCCTTGTGTCCTGGCGTCCTTTGCCACCTCAGTCTTTGGCTTTCTAAGACCATTTCCCCTTCTCTCCCAGCAGCGGATGAATGCCCAATGGTTACTGGATGTAAACGATGGCATGGCTGCTCCTAGGTACGGTTGAAGAGAAGGTTTTATTGTAGATATGAGGGAGAGAACAGCCACAGGCATCTGGAAGGGTCCAGCCTGAACATGGCCAGCAGACTGAACCCCAGGCCAAGAGAGAAGAGAGGGCAAGAGGGGGGACCAGGAGCCAAAAACAAGGGACCAAGAAAGAAGCCAAGAGGGCACATAGGATATATAGGGAAGAGGAGCTGGGAAGGGAAGCTCAGGAGCTGGAGAGGTTTAGGGTAGGGACTGAGGTGAGATGCTGAGGAGCCAGGACTCTTGTAACAGGTACTTGCAATGCTGGGAGATGTTGGGAGAATCTGGCAGTCAGCGCCCACTTTGATATGTTAATGGGTACCTCAGTTAGCCAGCCATTTGTCCTGGGTTTCTCTGAGGCCTAACAGTAATCTCTAGTACCTGGGTATAAACCAGCCCCTGCCCTTTCTAGCTGACATTTAAATGGGAAGACGAATCCATATAAGGGGGGGTCTCCAGGGGTGGTGTGGGCTGTGTCTCCCTGCTAGGCTCAGACATCGTCTCTGTTGCCGAGTAACTGTGCAGTCGGACAGGAGTTCCCTGTCTTGGGATCTCATCCACTTGCCGTTTGGTGAGGTAAGCAGAGGAATATCTCAGAGGGCTTCACACTGGTCTAACTGCCTCCCTGTCTCGCTGCTTCAGTGCGGCCTCCAGCGTCTACCCAGGCTGCAGTCATTGTGATCTGACCATCTTCTTGGAGGTCTTCCAACATTACAGTCCGAAGCCCTGGGCTGGGGTGTAGCTCATGTCCAAGGGGGTGCAGATGAGCATGTGTGCGGCCATCTTTCTATGGCCGTGACCGTGGCAACGTATGAAAGAGAATCTTCAGCAGGGCTTGGGGTTCCAGTGGGTAGAGTCCATGGTGAGCAAAAGCATGGCAGCGGGAAGAGTTGACAGCTCACATCTCCATCCAAAAGTAGGAGAATGGCTCCAGCCTTTGAAACCTCAAAGCCCTCCCTCAGTGACGCACCTCCTCCAGGAAGGCCACACCTCCTAATCCTTCTCAAACAGTTCCACCAACTGGGGACCAAGTATTCAAACATATGAACCTATGGGGGCCGTTCTCATTCAAACCACCACAGAGGTCCTCGCTTTGATACCCAGCACTGCAATATGATTATTATGATTATTAGTAATCATCATCATCATAATAATAATGGCGAGGATGAGGCTAAGTTGGGAGAATGCGTGCCTAACGTGCACTGAGGTTTTGGTTCAATCCCTACCAGATCTCTGCTCTGTGGAATGCATGGTACATGCCTACAATCCCAGAGCCCAGGAGGGGAGTCAGGTGTTCAAGATCATCCTTGACTATACATGAAGTATTGATGTCGTTCTGAGACTGTGTCTAAAAAGGCCCACACTGTTACATACATGGATCTGGCTTCTTTTCCCACTCTCTCTAACTGTGGGAGGCTGATGGTCACTTTCACTCTTCCCTGCTCCTCCATCCTAAGGTCAGCATTTGGAGAATGTTTGTTGAATGAATCTGTGTCCTGTTTCTTCAGTGTAAAACTTTAACTGAATTTCTGTTTTCCAGATCACAAAGGAAGCAAGTAACCGAATACTATAAACAAGTAATAAAAATCAAGGAGAACTCAGACCCCGTGGCCACCTGCAAGCTTGTCAGGAAGCAGCTGAGCTTAAGCCTCAGCGACACCTTGTGTAAACTGGGTAATTGCTCCCATCTGTTCAGGAAATGGCGGGGTTTCCCCGAGTCATCTGCATGATTGCTTGTTTTAAAAAACGGCTTCATTGAAGCAATCTCTGCTCTATCTACTTGCTTCTTTACAACAAATTTTAAAATTATATTTATTTACTTAGTGTGTTGTGTGTGTGTGTGTGTGTGTGACAGCATGCATGTAGAGGTCAGAGGAAAATTTTAAGAATGAGTTCTCCCCTTCTACATGTGTCTTCAGAGGACTGAATTCAGGTTGGCAGACTGGCAACAAGTGCCTTTACTCACCTTCTTAGTTACTTTTCTGTTGCTGCAAAGAGACCAAGGCAACCTACCAAAGAGAGCATTTGATCAGAGGCTTGCTTCCAGTCTGTGACCATCGCGGTGGGGAGCACGGCCCCAGACAGGCAAGCAGGGCACTGGAATTGCATCTAAGAGCTTATATCTGATTCTTGGTTGGAGACAGAGAGAGACTGGGCCTGGTGTGGGCTTTGGAAACCTCAGAGCTCACCTCCAGTGACACATCTGATTCTACCAGGTAGTTCTAACAACTGGGAACCGAGCCTTCAAACATGAGCCTGTGGCAGCCATTCTCGTTCAAACTACCGCAGCCACCAAGCCATCTTACTGGTCAGGCTCCTTCGGCTTTTGTTGTAGTCTATGTACCTTCCGTTCACAAATCTTTTAACATTCGTTTCCAGCCAGGGGTGGTGGCGCACCCCTACAGTCCCAGCATTCTCAAGAAGGGAACAGGAGAATTGAGAGTTCACAGTGTGAGCACTACCTGTCGCAACCAACTAACAAGCAAGTGAGACCCAGGGCTAGAGTTGTAGTCCTTTCTTTGCCTTCATGAGAATCCAGCTTTCATCTCTAACCTGGCAAAGAAAGAGATGGTTTTCAATGCCATTTTTCATGCTTTGTTTAAAAAAGCAGTAAAAAAAATGATTGTACCATCTAGGTCACTTGCTGAAGAGAAAAAAAAAAGCTCAAAATATCTATATGAACAGCAAAAGAATATTTTCATGGGTAGATTTGTGTGTGTGTGTGTGTGTGTGTGTGTGTGAACAGTTTCAGTGGATGGATTTAGGGATGTGCGTGTGTGTGTGTGTGTGTATGAGGACACAGTTTCATAGATGGATTTAGGTGTCTCTGTGTGTGTGAACACACAGTTTTATGGATGATTTAGGTGTGTGTGTATGTGTGTGTGTGTATGTGCATAAACACAGTTTCATGGATGGATTCAGGGGTGTGTGTGTGAACACACAGTTTCAGTGGATGGACTTAGGAGTGTGTGTACTTGAACACAGTTTCAGTAGATGGATTTTAGGTGTGTGTGTATGTGTGTTTGTGTGTAAACACACAATCTTATGGATGGATTTAGGGTGTGTGTATGTGTGTGTGTGTGTTTGTATGTAAACACACAATCTTATGAATGGATTTAGGGTGTGTGTATGTATGTGTGTGTTTGTGTGTAAACACAAAGTTTTATGGATGGATTTAGAGGTGTGTGTGCATGAACAAACAGGTGCAGTGGATAGATTTAGGGGTGTTTGTGTGTGTGCATGAACAGTTTTTTTACTTATTTTTTGATAAAGCCTTCAAGGCTGAGATTTGTGAAGTATCTTTTTTAAAACCAAAAAACTACAGATGCAAAACATAGAGAAAATGTTTGGAAAAGGAGTTGGAATGTCCTGTCTCATCTCTCCACACAGTCTGTTCTGTGACACTTTGGGTCTCTAGCTTATGGTGGAAGTAAATGACATCCATTTACTTCAGAAAGTCAGCATCTGTAATAGCATCAAGGGCAAGTCTTTGACTCCTGAAATAAGTCTATACAAGATGACTCAAATTTGCGCCTTTTTCGTGTAGACGGAAATTTCTGTCCTGCCTGGTCCTGCAGCCGTTCAGTCTCAAAGAAACACACAGAGGCTTATATTAATTATAAACTGTTTGGTCTATTAGCTCAGGCTCATTATTAACTAGCTCATACATCTTAAAGTAACCTGTAATTCTTGTCTCTGTTTAGCCATGTGACTTGGTGCCTTTTCTCAGTGACGTATTCTCATCTTGTTTCCTCTGCATCTGGTTGGTGACTGTATCTCTCTGCCTTTTTTTCCCGCCAGAATTCTCCTAATCTGGTTGCCCTGCCTATACTTCCTATTTGGCTACTATCCAATCAGCATTTTATTAAACCAATACGAGTGGCAAATCTTTACAGTGTACAAGAGCGTTATCCCACAGCAATTTTTAGTGTGGTGTAATCCAGTTTCCTTTTCTTTTTTTTTCAGCAATTAAAGAAAGGCTTTTATTAGGGGTGAAGGAACATATAGCAGGCACTTAGGGGCATATGACAAAGTGGAGGGGGTGGTACTCAGGAAGCTGACGCTCAGCCTCTTTTTTTAAAGGCTGGACTTTTTAATGTCTCAGAGGGGTCTTCGTCCCTAATTTAGGGTTGTTTGGCTTGAAGAAAGACAGGCTGGCTGACTGGACCACAACTGTTGTGTAACATGTCTGATCTGGCCTGAACTTGTGTGGCCAGTTCCTCACAAACCCTATTGGTAGGAGAACAGGGCAATAAGGATTTTTAAAAAAAATCTACCAGGCTTTTGTCTTAGGTGAGGAGAGGAAGGAACCAGGCATCTTGGAATGCTACCATCCTCTACCTAATCTTGCCTCCTTTCCTGTCTCTCCCCCTTGGTGAGTCTAACTCCTACTTCCTCCTCCCTCCTCGGGAGACACCCTAAATGCCATTAAGAGTTTTAGGGCACAGAATGCTCCAACTGCTTTGAACTGACAGAAGGAGTGAGGGAGGGGCAGCAGTTAGAGTGCCTCAGAGGAGGGGCCGTCACAAAACTGAACGAAGGGCAAAGATCCAGGAAAAAAGGTAGCTCTGTGGCGACAGCAGGCACCCTTGGAGTGTGCTGTGCAGATAAGGTAGCGTCTGTACCACAGAAGAGCGGTACTTTTAGCTGTGCTGTAACTCCTACTGGGTGTAGGAAACAGCCGGAGCAGCTGTAACTCCTACTGGGTGTAGGAAACAGCCGGAACAGTTTTGTCCTCACGAGAGGAAGAGGATAGACAAGAAACTGTCCAAAGAACTCTCGGCAGCTTTGTCAGGGGTGTCACAAGACCGATGGTTTGGCCTAAGAGCTTGAGACCCTTTTCATTAGCCAGTGTCAGTTTAGAAGCTGACCATTGGGTCCCCCGATTGAACGCTGTGGGGAGCTAATGAAAAAACGAAGCTAGCGAGGAAAAGCCTTCACTATGGTTTAACGTAAGTCCTGTTTAGTAAGGTGAAGTGCAGGTGTGCTGATGTCTCTGCCCAGGTCCCAGCTGTGTGCCCAGTGGAGAGAACAGGGTGTTGACAATTTAAAAGAGAAATATAATCTCATTGGGTCTTTTTTTTTTATTATAGGATTGTCCAATTTTTTTTCCAAAAAAAAATTGTCTTTTTTTTTATTATAGGATTGTCCCTAGTGTCCTAGGGAAGAATTCCCTGCCCATCTTATATGACTTAATCCTTGTCGTTTTTCTCTAAACTTTCCTACACATTTTATATTCTCTTAATATAAATAAGCTTTACTTACTATTTAACATAGTTCTTTATTGCCCAAAATTAATTATTTGCTTTTTTTCTTTCGTTTGCTTTTCAAGACAGTCCTATACTGAGTCTATAGGTAAGGCTGACCTCGAACTCACAGAGATCCGCCTGCCTCTGCCTCCTGAGTGCTGGGATTAAAGGTGTGCACCACCGCCTCCCACCCCGTTTGTTGTTGCTGTTATTACTATTACTGTCTGTACATTTTTCTAACAAGAAGATTGGTTTCTCTATCACCATTGCATTTTTCAAACAACCCCACAAAGGAGGGAGGAAATACCTTAGCTAATTCTGATTTCCCTTCTCTCTTTAGAAAAGCAAGTGCAGGGACTGACTGGAAGCATACATAACTTACTAGAAGCTCCGGGTCTCATCCCCAACCCTGCATAACCTCAGAGTGGTGGAGCACACCTGTAGCCTGAAGTCAAGGCCACCCTCAGTTCCTTAGTTGAGGTCAGCCTGGACTCAGTGAGACCCTGCCTAAAAAAATGAAAAGGAAAAGCAAGTACGGTTACTACAGGGATTTTCCTGCTAATTACTTCTTATATTCTTTAAAAAAAGATTTTAAAGTTGATTTTATGCATAGAAGTGCTCTCTATTTGCATGTGCAACTTCATGCCAGAAGAGGGCACCAGATCCCACTACAGATGGCTGTGAGCCACCATGTGGTTGCTGGGAGTTGAACTCAGGACCTCTGGAAGAGCAGGCAGTGCTCTTAACTGCCGACCCATCTCTCCAGCCCTACTTCTTATATTTCAATTGTTCAGTTATTGTTAATAATTCATTCAACAAATATTTACTGTGCCCTTTACCTGTCAATCTCTGTTTTGGTTGCTGGGGAGACGGCAGTGTACAAGACAGATGGAGACCAGCTGCGCCTTCAGCTGAGCTCACCTTATTGGAAAAGGCCGTTATATAACTAAGTACACAGTTGTTTAACTTAAAATTTTGCAGCGCAACTTGGAGACCCTAGCTGGCACAATGCTGTAGTACTATGTAGTAATATGGAACACCGTAAACACAGTCAGGAAAGTATTATTCTGGGAAAATCCAAGCGTGCCAGGGCATCATGGGGAATCATGAGTCCTCTGATGGATGGGCCAGGCAGGGGATGCACCTCAGGAAGTGTGGCTGGAACAGAAGATGCAGGATGGGAAGTTGCTCAGTAAGGAAGGTCCGGGAGTGGAACAGAGTATTTGAGGCCAGACGGAACTGAAAAGGTCCCTCTGGCTGGTGTGCAGGAGCAATGCGGGAGGGGCTTGAGTCTGACAGGTTGTTCCTCTGAAGCCAGGGCAAGGATCTGTGATCTTACCATCAGAACCACTGGAAGTGAGGGCAGTGAGTGTTAGGACGAGTCATCCCCTGGCAAGGCTTTCACCAAAATCTAACATAACAGCCCTGAATTACGCTTTGGGTCCGAACCACCACAGAGCTCAAGGGCCCGTTCCCATCACTCTTGCCCCTCTGTGTGCAATTTTGACTTCTCAGACTGAGAATTCTCAGGAGCAGGGGACTTGGCATTTATCCTGTCAGCATGCTCGCTGTATTGAGGGGTCATAGATAAAGCAAGGGCTGCCGGGTGTTTCACACAGTGTGCCCTGGATTATTCCCTTGAGACGATGGTGCTGCTCCCAGCTAACAATATTGAAGGAAACAAGTCAAATCATTGTTCCCCCCACTGAAAGCAATCATCCTCAGTTGACCTTCTGGAGTCTATGTTAGTTTGTATATTAACAATGGTAATTGCTAGCTTGAGTGTTTTGCCATCTTATTACAATAGGTAAACAAGTTGAATACAGGTTAATCTTCAGTAGGGTATGAAAAGGTGGCTCCCAGTAAGTTTTGATAATTAAGATTTACTTTATAAACACGTTTTTTTTTTTTTTTTTTTTTTTTTTTTTTTTTGCATGTCGCACCTGCAGGCAGTGGTGGGTTCTTCATCTTCCACCTCCAGATCACTTGCACAAGGCACTTACTACTAAACTGAATCTCTTTTGTTCATTACTTCTTCACAGCTCCAGCTTCAAGTGTAAGCCTTAGCATAATAAAGCCGTAGACCCCAGAGATGTCAGCAGGCTTGCCAACTCGGGAGGCCCTCTGTGAACTCTGTTCCCAGCCCCTTCTGGCAGGAACACTTCGATCAACGCTGTAAATGCGCTATTGAGAAAGCATTGCAGTGGGAGAAAAGAACAGAAATGAGCCCTTCAATTCCCATTGTGCCAGCCGAGCGCTCTGCACGGAGAGGTTTATTTTGGATGAAGAATGACAGATGAACACAATGCTACCTCCTCCTCACTGGCTTCTCTTTAAAAGGAAATGTCAGCCATCTTGGTCAGTGAGTGACTCCCAGTAGGGAGAGTCAGTCTCTTTCCTTCATCCAATTTCAGAATTTTCACCTCAGACAGAACCCTCTGCCGACAGAAGTTGATCCTTTGATCCAAAAGTTAGGAACCCAGACGAACCTTAAGTTTTAGTTTTAACCTAGATAGAAGTACTCACTCTTCCCGAAATCTCTAAAGGCTGTGTACGATCTCTCTCCACTTTTAAGAGTGGACCCTTGGATTGGAAGTGGATCTCATCTTTTGGCTCACAAATTCCAGTTGGGGTTTCTAAAGCGTGAGAGCAAGCGTGGTGTAGCTGCTGTGCCAGATCCTCTGAGGCCACCCCCTGATGTCCTGTCTTTTATGATTGCCTTGCCTGTCATCCTCGGGAATGGTGAGTTGTGTTAGCAACTCACGGGATTGCAGCTTGCTAAAGCATTTGGTCTAGTTTTCACAGGAAGCAATTAGTTTATCTGTTACTTGGTACTTAATCAAATGACTCAGTTAGAGTCATGAACCAGGCTGACTCTGGAGCATGCTAGCACCCAGCTGTTGGGGAGCAGAAGTGTGCCTGTGGAGAAGTGCTGCTAGCTGCAGGCACTTAGTGTGTTGTGGGTGATGGACAGCAGGTAGAGGAAGTGAGGGACCCTGGTAAGAGTCTCCTCCCAGATGGACCACACAGATGGGCCCCTTTCTGGGGATATTACCCTTTTTTGTATGTATTTATTGGCCTGGTGGCAGTTGCCTGTCAATACCAGCACTTGGGAGGCAGAGGTAGGCAGATCTCTGTGAATTTGAGGCCAGCCTGGTCTACATTTCCAGGGCTACACAGAAAAACTCTGTCTCAAAAAAACAAGGAAAAAGCATCACTGATGTATTTGTGAGTGAGTGTGCCTATGCTTTGGGCCCGTAGGGGTCAGGGGACGGCTGGCAGGGGTCAGTTCTCTCCTCCATTGTCTTGGTCTTGGGGATCGGACTCAGGTGATCAAGTGTGGTAGCGAATGTCTTTCCTCAGTGAGCCGTCTCTTGAGCTTGGTGCTGATTATTTTGGATCTCCTAAGGAGGAAGCACGATGAGAGTGCCTCACTGATAAAGGTACCAAGCCACATGGCTAACAGACAAGAATTATTGGCTAATTTCAGATATAAGAAAGTTAATAAGAAGCCTGAGCTAATAGACCAACCAGTTTATGATTAATGCAGGCCTCTGTGTGTTTCTTTGGGACTGAACAGCTGCGGGACCGGGTGGGACAGAGACCTCTGTCAACACTTGGACTAACAGACTGATGTGCCTTGTATTGGGCATAGGCTCCTGGTCGATGCTCGTGGATGTGAGGACATCCCCAGCAGTCCCTTTATCACATGTCCAGATCTGTGTCCTACTGGCACCAGCTTCACAATGCAGGTGTAATCAAGAAAGCGTGTTGGGCACATTTTCTAATGTAATCCATATCACTTGACCCGGGAGAAACACATTGGTAAGATTCGTCTTCACAGAACTAATGAGGCTGCAGTGTGTGTGTTTGTAAAATCTAGAGCTATCTAGATCTACAACTGTCAAAGGCTCAGTGAAGGTGTGTGTGTGTCTGCCTACATGTATACGCGTGTGCGTGTGTGTGTGTGTGTGTGTGTGTGTGTGATGAGAATGGAATGCAGGGCCTGGTGCATGCTGGGCAAACACTCTACACTGAGTTGCTTTCCAGACTCTCCTGAGGGCTCGAGTTGCACTGACTGTCTCTTTAACTTAAGGCATTGACCTGGTCCCATCTTCCCTTTTCTTCTCTTCCCCTCTTCCTGTCTCTTCCTCCTCTCATGGTAGCAACATGAATTTCTAAAGAGTGGAAGTCAGCCTCTGTCCTTCCTTTCCTGGCCCCATGTCCTTTCCTATTGTTTCTTCACACAAGACACAAGTGAAATGCTTTTGACAGGGTGTGACGACAGACGGCCTTCTCATGCCGCCTTTGCAAATGCTCTTCCGTCTCTTGTAAATGTGTAAAGATGGTAATTAAAAACTCTAATGTCCCCTTTTCCCTCGTCCACCCAGCAGGCCAGCTGTTGTCAGGTGACTTCTGTCATCGTGCCATGATGGAGGCAGTCGGCTATTTGTATCGGTCACTTGACTTAAGGGCAACTCACCTGGGGTCTTCCCACACTTCAGCCCAGGGAATACTGCAGTGAGTTCCTGTTGCATGTCTCAAAAAGAAGCCGACTTTCTGATTGTTTGTGTTAATCCACAGCCACGTGACACGTTTTGATCTTTTGCAGCCTCCTAAGGGAAATCCAGACGTTCCGAGGCAGGAGGTGTTGGCCTCAAGGCAAGAGCCAGCTGTGCCCTGATGGTACCAGGAACGGCTCTTTATTCTGGGAAAACTTGTTTAAATTAAACTTCCGCAGCGCTCAGAGCTCTGACACGGTGAACACCGCCATGTTTATGAACATAAGTAAGTTGCAGAGAGCTAAAAGCACAGAGCCGGCACCACCTCCGGTTTCAGATAAACCCAAATGTGCTCATGGCAAAGGAAAGAAGACCTTGACTCCAATTCTCAGTGCCTCTGCTGGGGAAAAGACCCAAAATGCTCAAATATGGAATGATCCAAGAAAGCAAATTCCAAGGAAAAAGAAAGACTATCCCACGAAGATGTTATTTCCGGCTGAAAAGAATAGCTTAGTCAGACTTTCAAGGCAAAGGATTTTTTCTGCTAAATGTGAGAATGGAGTCAGCCTTATGACTGCAATTTACCGCCAACCCCCGAGAGCACCTCTTAGTGCAAAGAGCCCTTGGGATTCCATATCTGAGCTTGTATCAGAAAAATGGCTTTTTCACAGTCCACAGTACACCTTCACTCCCCAGAAGCCTGCTTTCCCAAGACGATCCCTAATAGCAGCAAAATGGTTGAAGACCTCAAATGACACCGACAAACAATAAAAATCATCTGGGCTCTTTTGTATTTACATTTTCCTCAATTCTCTTGAAGTTCTATATGTGCGTTTGTGGCACATATGTGTACATATGTGTAGGCCAGAGGTCAATGCCGGTGTCTTCCTCAATCACTTTCTGCCTTATTTTTTGAGACCAGATCACAGATTCTACTAGCCTGGCTGGTCAGTGAGCTCCAGGGATCCTACTGTCTCTGCTTTCCCTGTGGAGGTCATAGGAACAGGCTGTCACACCTGGCTTTTTATGGCGATGTTGAACCTCCAACTCAGGTCCTGGTGTGCACACAGCAAGCTCTAACTAACTCAGGTC